TTTAGGGTCAATTTAATCTGCATGTTTCCTATTTTCTTATAATTAAACCATCAAAATATTGTCCTTTAAAAACTATTTGATGTCCACAAAATCATCTGAGCCCTTTCAATAAGCTTCTTAAAAGGGTTTTTATCCCACTTAAAAACAGAAGTTGCACTGTGTTATGGGTGACCTGATGCAGAAACCAAGAATCCCCTTTAAATTCCAAAATCCTTGAAGTCTGGATAATTTCTGAACTTGGAGAAAATGAGTTCACCCATTGCTAAAGTTTCTGTGTTGCTAAAGAAGACATTTGGAGCAAAGATGAGTTCCATAAAAGAGGGGAAATCAGAGCTGCAGAAGAAATTGAAGGTATGTGAATTTTGCTTAGGCCCCTGAGGAATAGCTGGAAGCCTAACTTGTCACATTGCCATCCACAGAGCAAGAAAAAGCTCAAATGCACATCAAATGTTTGACAGGACTAAAAAGAAATGTGATGTCCATATGAAATAATATTTGCTCATAATGCTAAGAAAACAATGGAATATAAATGTATGGATTTCAGCACATCCAATTTGCTCTCTAGCATAATCCTCTGCTGTTGGCAGCCCATGGAAAACCCTTAATAATATTTACCAACATTGAATAATTAATTATTCATAAAAGATAAATAGGATTTGTTATTCTAACGCTAACTCCTATTACATAGAACTGCAGAACTGTGGTGTCAGGGCCAGTGGATGGAGAAGGTCTTTTGTAGAAGGTTATGGACAGCAAGCCAGGAAAGTGAGCTGGGCTCTGTAGGAAAGTCTCTCCCCTCCTCTGCTGGTGTTGACAAGAGCCCAAAAGCTAAGCAGCAGCTAGCATGCCTGCGAGGGGAAAGCTCTCCAGCCAGGCTCCAGGGTGCGTTCAGGAGGCATTTCCAGGGAACCCATAAATACTTCTGTTCTGAGCAGTTCCCAGCTCTTGAAGAGCACAGGCCTGTTATCACCAAGCATCAAATACTGAACAGACAGGATGCAGGGGCTTCCCCACCAGGGGAGCTGGCACACGAGCTCTAAGGAAAAGGGATCTGAGTCCATTTCCTGCAATTGTTAGAGAAGGATGGTGGCCTGGCCCTTGGGTATTTAGAGTCCTGTGTACATTATTGTTCTCATGTGATCATTAGGATCTCAGCATATCCAGGCCTTAATCGTCTACAGAGAAACTCCCTCTGCTTAGGCACCTGAGAGAGTTAAAAGTTTGATTTCTCTATTATAGCTAATAAAATACAGTTTTATTCATAGTTTCAAAGCTCTAGCACATGCATTAAATAACTCCTTTGTTAATGCTGTTGATTTTAACCACAACAGGAACAATAACAATAGCAATAACAAGCATTACTAGAACAAGTGAGTTTAGCAAAGTTGCATAAAAATCAAACGTATTTCTATTACTAGCAAATAACTATTGGAACTTTTAAACAGCTTTGTTGAGGTACAATTCACATATAATGTACGACCTGTATTTAAAGTGTACAGTTTGGAAAAAATAAAGTGTACAATTTGATAAGTTTTTACATATACGAGTGCATGTCTATACATATGTGTGTGTATGTATATACATGAAACCATCACCACAATCAAGAAAATGAATGTATCCATCACTCTCAAAAATTTTCTTTGTCCCTTTGTAATCCCTCCCTCTCATCCTTCCATGCCTTTTCTCCACCCGCATCTGTGTTCTGTTAATACAAATTAGTCTGTATTTTTTAGATTTATATATATGGAATCATAGACTAATCTTTCTGGCTTGGCTTCTTTCATGCAGCATTATTTTAAGTTTCATCCATGTTGCTTGGGGTGCTTGGAGCTTCTTGGATTTGTAGGTTTATAATTTTGATCAAATTTGAAAATTTGTTCAATCATTATTTCTTAAAACACTTTTATACATCCCCCTTCTCTCCTTCAAAAAATCTGTAACATACATTGGGACTCAGATCACTGATGCTCTGGGGTTTTCTTTTTTTGAGTTTTTTTTTTCAGTCTTTTTAACCTCTGAGTTTCAAGTTTCTATTGCTTCAAATTTACTAATTTTTTTTTCCTCTTCAGGGTTCAATCTGCCATTAATTCCATCCAATAAATTTCTCTACCAGGCACTGTTTTCATCACTAGAAGTTCAATTTAGGTATCTTATTTTATACTATTCACATCACTACTTAACATTTTTCATCATTCTTCTAGTTTCTTGAACATATGAAATACAGTTACAGAAACTTTTGATGTCCTTATCCACTATTTCTAATGTCTGGGTCAATTCTGGGTCAGCTTCAATTGGATAAATTTTCTCCTAATTTCACATTTTTTTCTACTTCTTTGTGTGTCTGGTAAATTTTTATTGGATTCCAGACATTGTGAATTTTACCTTCTTGAGTGCTGGATTTTTTTTTTCTTGCATTCCCAAATATTCTTAAGTTCTGGGATGCACTTATCTTACTTGGAAACATTTTGATCCATTTGGGTCTTGTGGTTAAACTTTGTTAGATAGGACCGAGCATAGCATTTAGCCTAGGGTTTATGAATTTTATGACGTTTTTCTTTTTTAAGATTTTATTTATTTGAGAGAGAGAGCATGAGAACAGGGTGAGGGGCAGAGGGAGAAGCAGACTCCCTGCTTAGCAGGAAGCCCGATGCAGGGCTCGATCCCAGGACCCTGGGATCATGACCTGAGCCGAAGGCAGTCGCTTAACTGACTGAGCCACACAGGCGCCCAATTTTATGAGGTTTATCTATGCTGCCTGGTAGGAACAAAAACTATTTTTGATACTGTGTGAGTTCTAGGTATTGTTGACTCTAAACTTTTTGAGTGACTCTTTCCCTGCTCTCTGATAGTTTCCTCTGCGGCATGCACTGATCAATAGTGGATTTAGAGGGGCTCTCTGCAGACCTCTGGGATACTCTCTCAGTGCTGTTCTGTTCTCTCCAGTACACTGACCTACAAACTCTAGCCATCTTGGCCTCCTAAACTCCCACTTCTACTTCCTCAACTCAGGAAGACTGCTGGGCTCTGTATGAATTGCTCTCCCCTTTGCTGTGACCTGGAAATACTCTCCAAGTGATGAGCCAGGCAATCACAGGGATAATAATAGAAATTTATTATTTTTTCCATCAGTCAAAAATCACTGTCTTTCACTGCCCGATGTCCCGTGGCTTAAGAACCATTGTTTTATATATTTTGTTCAGCTTTTTAGTTGTTCCAGTTGAGAGGACAGATTCAGTCCCTGTCCATCTTGGCTAGAAACAAAAGTTCACAATTGGAAACTGAAATTTAAAATATATACTATTTATAATAGCATCAAAAATATAAAAATGTTAGGGAAAAATTAATACAGTGTGTGTAAAATCTATATATTGAAGATTATAAAACATTTCTGAGAGAAACTTAAATTGGACCTAAATAAATGGAGAGATAAACTGTGTTTATCTTATCAGAAGACGCAGTACTGATAAAATGTTAATTCTCCCCAAATTGGCCTATTGACTCAGTGCAATTTCAACCAAATTGCAGGTTTTTTACTAGAAACTGGCAAAATGATTTTAAAACTTTATATGGAAATGCAAATGAGGATCGAGGAAATTGAATTATTCTGAAAAGAACAACAAATTTGGAGTAATTATGCTACCCAATTTCAAGACTTATAAAATTATAGTAGTAAAGATGGTGTGGTATTGGAATGAATACAGACGTACAGATCAATGAAATAGAATCCAGAATGCAGAAATAGATCCTCATATCCACAGCCAATTGATTTTCAACAAAGGTGCCAACATGCCAATTCAGTGGGATAAAGGATAGTCTTTTTCAGTAAAAATATCCTGGAAGAATTGATCATATGGGGGAAAAAATTTCTAGAACCTACCTCACACCATATACAAAAATTAACTCAAAATGTATCACTTAACTGTAATATCTAAAATGATAAAACTTCTGGGTTCCTGGGTGGCTCAGTCGGTTAAGCGTCTGCCTTCGGCTCAGGTCATGATCCCGGGGTCCTGGGATCGAGTCCTGCATCAGGCTCCTTGCTCTGTGGGGAGCCTGCTTCTCCCTCTCCTCCCCACTTGTGCTCTCTCTCACTATCTCTGTCTCTTTCTCTCAAATAAATAAATAAAATCTAAAAAAAAAATTTAAAAAATAAAATGATAAAACTTCTAAAAGAAAATATAGGAAAAAAATTCAATTTGAATTAGGAAAATGTTTCTTAGATAGGACACACAAAAATAAATGAGCCACAGAAGAAAAACTACACCAAATTGGTCTTCATAAAAAATTAAACTGTAATAAAGTGTCAAAGGGTGCCTGAGTGGCTCAATCAAAGAAGCGTCCGACTCTTGATTTCAGCTCAGGTCATGATCTCAAGGTCGTGAGATCAAGCCCTGCATTCAGCTCCATGCTGCTGGGCATGGAGCCTACTTAAGATTCTCTCTCTCCCTCTGCCCTTTCCCTCCACCCAAAGCCCGCCACCCCAACCCAACCTGCTTGTGTGCATGCTCTCTCTCTCTCAAAAAGAAAAAGTCTGACTCCATTTTGATGTTTGATTTTGACAGCTGACAGCTTTCAAACCCCACCATTCTACCTTCCCCTTCTGCTCCACATCTGGGCTAGCTTATAGGAGTCCCTGGGCTCCTATCTGTAGGAGCCCAGGAACTCCCACCTTTGTAGCCAAAAGAAAGTTCAAAACATGCAAACCCTGGCTCTCGTGCACAGGAACCCTCACTCCAGCTCCATTCCCCAAACATAGTACAAACAACACCAGTCTCTTTTCCCTGTCTCTCTCAAGCCACTTTTTCTCCTGCTTAGGAGCCTGCCATGCTCTCCCCAGAAAGTCTCATTATTGAGTAATAATCCTTTCATACCTTCCTGGTGTGGTCTCAACACCTAAATCAAATTTGGTGGGGAGGAATCCATGCTGTTTCAATAGGATAACCACCCAAAACTTGTACACTTCAAAAGACTTTATTAAGAAAATGAATAGGCAAGCCACAGACCAGGAGAAAATATTTGCAAGCACATTTCTATAAGGGGTGTTTATCTAGAACATATAAAAGAACTCTTAGATCTCAAAAGCAAGATAATAACCCATTTTAAAAATTGGCAAAAGGTTTAAACAGATTCTTCACTGAAGAAAGTACATAAATGACAAATCATCATATGAAAGATGCTGAACATCATTCATCATTAAGGAAATGTAAATTAAAACAGATATCGTAGGGTGCCTGGGTGGTGCAGTTGGTTGGGTGATGACTCTTGGTTTCAGCTCAGGTCCTGACCTCCGGGTTGTGGGATTGAGCCCCATTGGGCTATGCACTCAGCTCGGAGAGAGTCTACTCTCCCTCTCCCTCTGCCTCTCCCCGCTGCCCTCTCTCTCTCTAAAATAAATAAATAAAAATCTTAAAAAAAAAAAAAGAACAGATATCACTCCACAGCTACTAGGTTAACTAAAATTACAAAGACCTACAATACTGAATATTGCTGAGGATATGGAACAACTAGAAATTTCATTCATGAGTAGTGGAAATGCAAAATGGTGCAGCCACTTTAGAAAGCACTGTGCCATTTCTTATCAGTTTAAACATACACTTATTATACAACCCAGCAATCCCACTTTTTAGGTATTTACCCAATAAAAATGAAAACATACCCATACAAAGACTTGTACTCAAATGATTGTAGTAACTTTCTTCATAATATCCAGAAACTGGAAATAAGCCCAATGCCTACCAATTGGTCAATAGACAAACAAAATGTTATGTATCCACATAGTGAAATATTACTCAGTAATAAAAAGGAACTACCAATATGTACAACATTAAGAATGAACATTAAAAGCATTATGCCAAGTGAAAAAAGCCAGACACAAAAAACTACACACTGCATGATCCCATTTATATGAAATTGTACAAAAGATTAAAGCAAGGATTTAATGGGAGGGAAGTGATGTCAACAGGGCACAATAGAATTTGGGGGGTTATGGAAATGTTCTATAACATCACTGTAGTGCCAGACATATGATTATATATATTTGTCAAAACACATCAAATCACACCTTAAAATTGGTACATTTTATTATATGCATATTACACCTAAATGAAAAATTTTAAAATTAATATCTCTCTTCTATTGACTGGTGAAGCACTGTATTAGACACTTTAGATTGTTCTGTTTCATTTGCATTATCTTACTTAATGCTTGCACATTTTCAATGTGTTTGAGGTATGATTCTATCGACATGGCTCAGGGAGGCCCAGGGACCTCCCCAAGATCATACTATCTGTAGGTAAATTGCAGAGTTGGAATTTTTTTATTCTAAATTCAGTGCTCTTTCACCTACAAAGCCTCTTCTTCATAGAAATCTAGGTTTTAAATCTTTTGTTGATATTTTCAATATATTGCTTTATACTACCTTAAGTAATCAAGAAAAGAGATACAGACTATTTAAATCAATCGTTAAGAAATTCAATTATTTTTATTTTTAGTTCAATTATTTATAGAGGTCTTTATAATTCTGTATGCGACCATCCTATTTATATTTAGTACTTATTTTGTATTTTATAATAATTTTTCACCCTAATAGAGTACTCTCTTAGAAATTAGCATCTTCTCACTTTTACTCAGAAACCTTGGAGGGACTGACCATGAAGTTGATAAAGGAAATGTCCCATTTTAGATTAGCTACAAAGGAGTAAAAGTTTGGTCTTTAGTCCTGAATAAGCATTGTTTTTGTCACAGTTGACCTGGAAAGAGGGAGAATATGCTGCCTCAGCCTTATATTCTCCTGCTTAGCATGATGGCTTAAGAATATTGCCATAATGGATTTTGCCATATCTGTGAGCCACTTATGCTATTATCTATTTCATTTTTCTTTAAGCTTCCTATTTTTTGTATCTATTGTAACTCTCAACAATAATGTCTACAACATCACAGGTTTGATAAGTTATATATGCTTTTGACACAGACATAACAAGGTGCAAAGGGGGACATTTTCTGCCACCTCAGAATTTTGGCTAAAGTTTCAAAGCTTTAAAAAACTGGTAAGAAGTACCCCAGCGATCTAAAGCAAGGTGTCAATGGGTGCCCAAGCTGAGTTTTTAGTGCTATCAAAACAAGGTTGAAGATTCATCAACAGGAGATACCTTACTGGAGTAGACAGTACTATGGGGGTCTTCCTTTCTTTCTTCAATGCTCTTCTCCCTCCCTTAAGCAAAGAAATTAGGCCTCAAGAAAAGCATAGTGACTGATGATACTTGTCACACATAGAGGCTGGCCTCTTACTCCCTAGGTGGATGCCAGCTTTGGGCAGTTACAAAGCATTAGTGAATTCTTGGGAGAACCCCAAACTGTGTTCTTTGGAACTTGCAGGAACTAAAGAACTCCGAGGGCAAGAGGCGAGTTGGTGTTGGTTGGTCACAAGGAGAGAGGGTCAAACAGAGCAAGCTGCACTTCTATAAATGACAGACAGAGCAAGGTATGTGAGCACCTGCGAGCCACATGTATGTTGCCCCAGCAAGTACTCGGGTTGGAGCTATCTTGAAAAGAAGCTGCCCAAGATCTACCTGAGATGAGAGAACCCCAGTGGGAAAAGGCCAATTGGGATAAACTGCCAAAAGATAGGAGCCATAGGAGTGTCATACAAAGTTGGAGAGATAGTCCATCAGCTTTAGGGAATGGTCTTCAGTAGAGTGGTGGGAGCAACTCCAAAGGTCTCATAAAAACATGCCCAGTGGGAGCCAGTTTGGGCCTCTGTCATAGGAAAGGCAATGATCACAAGCTTCCAACAGCTCCAGGCAAGCCAGTCTTTCTATTTTCCTCTAGTCCTCTTCCTCTTCCTGGCCTTGACTCTGAAAGGGCCAGAGCAACACTGTGAATTGGAATCTATGAATCAAGAACAAAATAAAACATCATTCCTTTTTCCTGCTACTGGTCTTCAGGATCAAGGGTCAGATGGTGGAGCATAAAAACTCTGAATTGGATGAGAATGAAATTTGGATTTTCATGTGATTGGAATTTTTAATACGTGAATGTGAGACTGTTTTCTCCATGGAAAAACTAATCACCTGAAAGTAATTTAAAAAGTTATGAAACTGGTCTAGAATATCATCCAACAGCAAGACAAAGATTGGACAGAACAAGCGCGAAGGCACTAAGGGAATTAAAACAATGCTATTTCCTAATTGTATGTTATGGTGTTCAAACCAATAAATTCAATAAAGTTATTCAGCTCAATGAATTCCATTAATAATTTTTTTTAAGAGAGGGAGAGTGCGAGCGGAGGGGCCTGGGGCGGGGGTTTGAGGGAAGGGCAGAGGGAGAGGAAGAGAGATAATCTTAAGCAGGCTCCACATCCAGCACGAGCGCTTGACGCCGGCTCGATCTTGTGATCCTGAGATTCATGACCTGAGCCAAATCAAGAGTGAGAGTTTTAACTGACTAAGCCACCCAGGTGCCCCTCAATTAACAACTGTTAAAATTAATAATATTCATTCATGCACCCCTAAAATCATGTTACACACCCCCAGTGGTCCTTATTCCATATTCCACACTTTGGGAAAGATTGAGTCACATCGCATTAGAATAAGGAGACCATGTCAGCGTTTCGGTCCCTGACCATCGCTTAATCATCAAACAGAATCATTTAGCGATAAGGACAGGATCTCAGAGATAGCAAATGATTTGCTCCAAATCACACAGCTACTTACTTTACTTAACCAATACTCAAGTATTCTAAATCCTAGATCAGAGTGCTTTCCTGAACACTATGTTGCATCCCTGGTTTACCATTGGTAAGTTTTAATATTGTGTTGAAAATTTAATCATTGAATATATATAATTTGTCCCCTTGATTGTTGTATAACAACCATAACAACAATTCTGAATGTCTACAATTTAATTAATCCAATATTAAAACTCTGGGAAAATAAATTATCTTCAGATTTCTATTCTATCTCCTATATGTATGCCAGGCCACCCATTTACCTCAGAGGCTGGGCTTAAAAAACTTTGAGAAGGAATTTTTTGTAGAGTTTTCATGAATTCAACAAATTTTTATTAAACTCCTCATATGCCAGGCCTTGTGCCAGGCACTGGGAGCTTAACAAAAAATTTAGGGTTCTTGCCCTCCAGTTGTTCACCTCAACAGATGAGAAAACAGGTAAATACAGTAAAGCATGACAAGTGCTCTGATGGAGAGGTACTGACTGGGCGATATGAGAACCAAGAGACCAGTCTCAGGAGGCCCAGGGGGCTCAGGAGAGGCTTTGCCTAAAAACATAAATATAAATATATAAATGCATATATATATATATATTTGGTTCACATCAGAGGTCATGACTAAAGTGGCATGGAGATTTCTACTGGTTTGCATGATTGGATGGACAGGAAAAGATCTCCTGACAGACCCCATGCCTCACCTGGTGAGGCTCTAAGGGTAAGCTCCTCTCCCTCCCGCTACATGATTTGAAAGAAACATTGCACTCTGAGCAAATAGAAGAGGAGAAATGGGTTGTTCAAGAACAAGAATCTGCCTTGAAATTGCATCTCTTCCCGTGATTTTACAAATGAGGAGGTCAGAATGCACAGCTAAATTGGTCAGAAACTGTGGTAGGCAGAAAAATGGCCCTCCAAGGATATTCACATCCTAAACCCCAGAACCTGTGAATATGTAACCTCCCATGGCAAAAGGGACTTTGCAGATATGATTAAGGTTAAGGACCTTGAGATGGGGAAAGTATCCTAGATTATCCAGGTGGGCCCAGTCTCCTTAAAAGTAAAAGAGGAAATCAGAGAGTCAGAGGCAGATGTGATTAGGGTAGAGGAGTCAGAGAGATACAGCCTTTCTGTCTTCAAAGAAGGAGAAAGAGAAGGATGAGCCAAGAATCGTTGGTAACCACTAAAAGCTGGAAAAGGCAAGGATGCTCCCCTAACCCTACTGTCACTTTGATTTTAGCACAGTGAGACCTACTTTGGACCTACAAAATTGTAAGGGAATAAATCTGTGTTGTTTAAGCTGCTAAATTTGGGGTGATTTGTTATAGCAATGATAGAAAACTGATATAGAGCCCACAGCTCTTCACTAGAGTGAGCTGAAAGTATGGTGAAGAAATGGTTTCCAGAAGAGTTAATGACATACAAATAAGCAAATGTCAAAGATAACCATCCAAACTAGTTGTGTGTGTGTGTGTGTGTGTGTGTGTTTAAAGCTAGATATAGTGGGCTGTTTTAGTTATTAAAGAAATATATTTTCATTGAGGGGTGGTAAGTGTTCCTTGAGGACGATGTATAATTTTCTGCAGATGAGGGTAGATGACCTCAAAAGTCTAATGAGAAGTTCACTGTGAATACCATGTACATCTTCTCCCAATGGTAAAACAAAGGTGCTGATCATCAGTGGACCATTGGCCATAAGAAGCCATAGGGAGGAATGGCCCGGACGCAGGCCTGCGCACCAGAACACAGTAAGCATTTATTCTCTTTCCAATACTCTGTGCTGCTGAAAACATACCTAAGGAGACAAATGGATTATTGGGGCAATAAAAGCCGGAGATCTGTGGTGTGAGACTCATTACTTGCTTTTACTGTCCAAATAATCAGAAAGAGTAATTTGTAAGTATTCTTTCACAGTGATACTGGAAAGGAATTCTTCTTCCCCTTTCTCAGCCATAAAAGAGTACCCATGAGGATACATGGATTGCATCATGAATCTTTCCTTTGTCCTCAGCAGGATCCTGCTTTTGTGTTTGCTTAAAGTGGGATTTATGTGAAATAGACTCTTATTCTCTCTAAGAGTTCACCTACAGGTACAGATCAAACAATAATGGCAGGGTGATAAAGTACCTCTGCCCTCATGATGTAATGAAACTGCCCCAAATGAAAATGCTTCAAAGTTCTTTTCCATCTTTGCTTTCCATGAAATACAAATCATTTGCTGTTTTTATTTTCCTGCAGCCTTGCTCTTTTTGCCCCTTCTTTACTCATGTTCCTGGTAATGAGGTGTTGGTTTTGAGGAGCTTTATACAGTATCGCAAATTCCCAGAATTGGCAAGGGCTTCAAGAGTTCATTAATCCTCCTCTTTGTTCATCTAATCTGGGGCTTTGCTCAAGCCAGCCAAAGAATACAACGTTCTCCATACTCCCCAAGATCCCCCCGTGTGGAGACTGTTAGGGGCTGAACTGTGTTCCCCCAAATTCATACGCTAAAGTCCCAACCCCAGTATCTAGCATGTGACTGTATTTGGAGATAAGATCTTTAAAAAGGCAATTAAGTTAGGGGTGGACCCTAATCTAATCTCATCTGACTAGTATTCTTACAAGAAAGGGAGATTAGAATAACCACAAAGAAAGGGAAGACCAGGTGAAGATAGAGTAAGAAGACAGACATCTATAAGCCAAGGAGAGAGGTGTCAGAAGAAACCCATCCCACTAACACTTTGATCTTAGACTCCTAGCCTCCAGAATTATGAGAAAATAAATTTCTGTTTTTTAAACCACCCAGTCTATGATATTTTGTTATGCAGCTCTAGCAAATTAATACAGAGAGCAAACCCATTAGTCCACTTACTGTTAGAAGAAATCTCCTCATGTCTAGTGTTCAAAATAGTGGCCTTTTTATTCTGTCTTTCATGCAAAGGGTAGGAAGTTCTCTCAAAAGTACCCTGAATATATTAGGGGAATCCAGAGTGTTAGATGTAGAAGGAGTGTGAAATTATTATTTCAACCACTTCTTTTTACAGATGAGGAAACCGAAACCCAAAGAGGTTGAGTGAGTCTTCCAAAGTCACACTGCAAGTTGCCAGTCAAGCCCAGGAGATGGGCACAGGGCCTGGACCCCTGGCCCACTGCTTCCTAACTCATGCCAGAAGAGCTAGAAAAATTTTTAGAGAAACAGTGTTGGAAGGCATAATATGAATCAAGTGAATTAGGAGCAGAGGATGGGAGCACAGATCACCTGTATATGGCACTTATTTCCCGGGATAATAAAAATTATTTCCCGGGATAATAAAAATTTTGCAGCATTTTAAACAGTTACAAAACAGTTCTGGACTCATACTTCATAATCAACTCAGGGGATCCCCTGTACATTTGACAATCGTATTACATTCTCTGCTATGACAATTTTCCTCTTTTGGGAGTTGGAGGGCATTACCATGACCTCCCCTGCCATGGTGAACCTCACAAGAGGACACGCCATGTTGAGAAAACCCAGGCATGCTTTCTTGCCTCTTATGGTTTCATCCGCACCTCTTCTGCCCTCCATCTCTCTCAATCTCTCTCTCTCTCTCTCTTTTTTTTTAACCCAGGACATTTTATCACACATCCATCTTTTTCTAGAAGCCCTTTGAAGAACAGAAAGCTCTATATAAATCATAAAGTAAGGAAAGATACAATTATATTATCTTACCCTTCTTTCTCTCTTTTTTTCTCACCAATCCTTCAACCTCTGCCTTGGTAGTGGCAGGCGTCACACGTAAAACTCAAAACACTAAATTTCTTCCCTTTGGGTCCAGTTCTCTCCCCTGGAGCACAGTGAATCTGTCGATATCCCTGCACACTGCTGAGCACCAATGCTGCTGGCGGCCAAGGCAGGGCCTGCATCAGCGGATGGTGTCGATGCCTAGGGTCGCTGCCCTGCAGAAGCTAGGAAGCAACAAGTGCAGGCAAAGCCTGCCAGCCTGGGGTGAGATGAAGCCCATTTAACAGAGAACAGAAGCAGGGGTCAGAGCTGAGCTGGATTATGATTTGTCTGGCTATCAACCAAGCAGAGTTGCCCTATGTGAACCTTCTGACTCATTAGGTTGGGGTTCTCAAAATGAAGTCTGTAGACCACCTGGGTCAGAATCACCTGAGGCCATGTTAAAAACTCAGACCGCTGAGCCTCACTCTAGACGTAACAATTTTAGCAGCTTGCCAAAATCAGGAGTGATTGCCTTTAGGACACCAGCTTGCTGTGTTTGTCTTTAAAAAGCAATAGGATGGACATTCTAGAATATCCAAGCTGTTTTAGTTTAGGGATTACTTTTACTTTTGACAAGTGTTAAAAACACTTATGAAATCAGAATCTCAGGGCTATGGCCTTGGGGTTTTACATGTTCATTAAGTTCCCCAGTGATTCTTTGGTTCACTGAAATTGGAACTCTTTCCTGTAGTTTTCTTTCGTAATCCTCTCGGTTGATCATTTGGGAAGAATAAAAAAAAAAGGAAGGAAGAAAGGAGGGGGGCAGGGAGAAAGGAAAAAACCTCTGTCTTCATTTTGGTTTGCCCTTTTCAATTTGGTCTGTACTTGCCCTCTTGGGCAGGCGTACTATTACTCCATATTGCTCTATCCAGAATCCAACCGTCTCTCTTGTGTGGGACAAACCATGCCCTATGTATTGTATTCGCGGGACACGGGGCCTGCATCCTGAGGGCAGCTCAAGCATAGAGAGCTCTTCTGGCCCCACCCCCAGGAGCCAGGCTTGAGCACGTGACCGCACTTCGCCAGGTGATGCTTCCCCCACTGGGATGAGGGAGGTAGGTGAGTGATGGGTTTGTAGGGGCAGCAACAGCACCCTTGCAGGAGCAGTGATATCTTGGCCAGATCCCAGTGCCCACATATCATCCATTTGATAATGGTACTACTTGATAGTTAGGCAATTGAAAATGACAGCACGGAGCAAGTCACTGCAAAATTCTATACTAACCCTGGTTACACTCCTGGTGAGCCGCCTGACTTCAGGCAAGTCTCTTCTTCCTTTGAGGCCTCATCTGTATCACTTATAACAAGGAAAATCATTGTCCCCAAGCTGCTTAGTAGAATTGCAGTAAAACCCAATTTTAAGTATGTGTGTGCTTTGTAAACTGCAACATACAATAGAAATATTAGTGGAAAGTGAATTTTAAATAATTTATACCTGTTCTCACAGAAGCAAAAAATTTCCACTCAGCAAGAAGTATTTTTAGAAAGAGATTTTTGGTTTTCATGTGTGACTTTTAAATTTAACATCCAACTTGCTGATTTTTAACATCATGAATTTTTATATTTTGCTAAAGTCCCTGTTGTTTCATCTGCTATTAGGCAGGCAAATTCCCCAAAGGAATGAAAGCATTAAATAAAATGCTATACACACTACAGCAAAAACTTCCATCCATTTCCCAACAGCTGTTGCTTTTTAGAGAAACCAAATATTTTTGGAAAGGGCCACAAACATTCTGGATTCAAACCATTTATTAGCTTTGGAAACATAACATGCAGTCATCTTGCCAGTCTTAATCTTGCAGTTCCATTAAACACACCACAACTGCATCATAAAACAGAAAAGGGAAGAATTTATAAACAAATAAAGCAGTTAATTGGGGCAATAAAATAGCAGTTCCCTCCCAAGTGTGGAATTGCTGTGTTTCAACCTACAGAACCCTGAAATCCACTTGTCAGGAGTCTAGTGACTAGCAGAACCAAACACAGATCAAAGATTTCAGGACTGCTCCCGGGTCGGCAATGCTTACCTCTGCCACCACACCCTCAGTACCTCCTGCTCCCTCACCTGGCATTGCTGCAAGTCTTTCCAAGGAGCGGAGCAACTCCAAGCACAGTACTCTCCCAGTCTCTGTTCCATAGCTCAGGTTCCAGCTGAAGAAGGAATCACTGGAAGATCCACAGCTATGGCTGCACCTGCCACACAACACTCAGGTGGAGGGATGGAGACATCTTCTCAGACGTGCTTCTGTTTCCTGGGCAGCGCGGTGACCTGACAGTGCTGTCTGTCTTGTGCACTGCCAAGACAAAAGCAGGCTTTGGAGCCATATGAACTGGGCCAGAATCCTACCACGGCCTCTTGCCTACTTTATGACCATGAGCAAAAGCAAGATTTTTAACCTGAGTTTCATTCATTTATTCATTCAACACAGATTTATTGAGCACCTACTACATACCATGCTCTGATCTTTAGATTTTTTAGCAGTTACATAGCAATGCTAAATCCTGACTTCAGAGAGTTGTTGTGAGAATCAAGTGAGAAGAAAATACATGTATGTTCTTATATATATATATATGTATGTATATACCCTTGCAGATAGTATGTGCTCACAAATATTCACTCCATGCATCCAAGCAGCATATGAGAATTATATTGTGTGCACAATTAAAATTATATCTTGCATAGTTTTGCTTTTATTCAAGAAAGAGACAGAAAAGACTTAAGGTCCCCGCCCCCCTCCATAAATGAGGCCTGGCTTCACTCATGTGAACTGCAGAATAGTCAGAGGGATCTCAGCTCCCACTCTAAGAGGCCCTCTGTGGCAGTGGGATGGAGCAGAGCCAAGTGGTCCATGTGGGGAGTGCACTCATGACCTCTGCCTTGTTAACACCCAGGACCTGCACTCTTTCCCACCCCTGGAAATGTTTACAGTCCATGTATGTGATCAGATGCACACACACACACACACAAACACACACAATCTAGCAGGAAATTATGCCTCTTTGTAGAGGTCTGGCTTTTAGCATGTTTTGTTTAAACTCTCTAGAGATAAATTGCCCTTTACAGTTGTTTAATAGCTCCCATAATGCATAGGCGAGAGCTATGCCCAAAAGATGCTCTATTAATGACTTATAATGCTTATGAACAGTTATTTTCCTGACTTAAAAAGAATGAGATTAGTATATGGTACTCTTATAAACTACTTCCCAGGTCCTAAGTCAACCTAAGAGAAGGGAAATACCTGGCAGTCAAAATCTGTGTGAAGCCTATGTAAATGCTTGCTACTGCTTGAAATCTTTCTCAGACACAGCAACTGCACGTGGGCCTGCATTAGAAAAGGTCACCTAGGACACTATCGATTGGAGTTAGAACCCAATATTAGCCCTAAAAAGGAGGCGGGGGGGAGGGCAGGGGGGAATAGGAGAAATGAAAAGGACTTAATCTCTTCTCCAGGTTAGTATCTTAAATACTTATAATTCAAAGATTTCCAGGTTGTGCAGGCAACATGTTGGGTTAACTGGTTTCCAAATGTACTGGGATTGCTCAAACCTAAATGAACTTTTTATTTTTGGAATCATATATTGCTGAAGAGATTGAACCCATGTGTCTCATTCATTTGCACACTGGCTGTAAAAACATCTTTAAGTAATACTCTGGAAAAGATCCGTAAGCCTTAAGCAAGCATACCATCTCCTTCCCCTTCAGACCTACCGAGGCACTGTGTGGGTGACAGTGCCTTCTTGTTTCTAAGCTTTGCCTGCTCCTGTCTCCTCCTACATGTAAACAAAACTCCAGGGAACCGGGAGTCATTTGGAAGGCAGTTGGAGTGCTGTCCTTTCATCAGCTCACCTGGTGCTCTAATAAAACATCCAAGAAGCCCACATCTGGTAGGTAATAAAACCCAGAGCAGAATGAAGATGCCTGGCTGCTAACGTGCTCTAGCCACCAGACAAAGCCCTCGCGACATTTTTTTTCAACCAGTGCTGATGCCAGGATTTTAATGGGGCAAAGCTGAGAGCCCTCGTTCTATGTATTTCTCCTGCATTGGGTTCACTGGCTATGCTGCTCCCATGCCATTAAGGGTTTCCTCCACAGCACCATCAAACCGGCTCACAGACCAAACAAGGGAAATGTGTCTTAACATGACAGAATCAAACACAATAACACTTATCTCATACTCCCATTTCCCCGGGGTGGTGGTACTAAAGGGCGGATCTTCTTTTTTCTCCACCTCTTCTTAGTCTCCCAAATAAGAATGAGTGTTAGATCTCTTTGCAGGAAGAGACAGCTATGCCAACCGCAGAGGACATGATCTGACTGTCAACAGTGATGGATGAGATTCTGTACATTTAATAAATATAAATGTCATAATCCAACCATCAAATTTAATAAACAAAAATACCACAAACCATCTTTCCTCTCTGCTCCATGTGCTCCTTTAAAGCTGATAACATTAGAACACATTTTGCCCAAGCTATAACCTCACCATCTGCCTGGCTCAACTTCTGAGGACTTGGTACGGGCTAGAAAGAAAAGCAAATGACTTCACACTGAGAAAAAAAAGAGGGACGGGGGCCTGGATGGTTTTTTTCACTCCTCCTTTTCCTCCTGACCTATTTGTTAACTATAGAACCAGATGTAACTATCTGAGCATAAGTTCAACCCTCAAGAATTATTAGGGAGGCAGATCGTGGAGAACATTTTTTTGCATGAGTTACACGAACAAAACTCAAAAGGCTGCTTCCCCAGCAAGCTGCATTGTGCGTTTCAGGGCTTTGATTTGAAAATGTGGAGATGAGATACAGACTGAGTCATTAAGGATGCACTTTTTTTTGATGGCAAATTAATAATAATCATAACCACAACAATAAACACATAAGAGAGAAAAAAAAAAACAGTTTCATTCCTTGGCCAGATTCAAAGCTCTAACTGCAAGGGGTTCTTTATGTTGAGCTCAGGAGACCTCACTGGCTCAGAGAGTGATGTAAAGGGGGAACCCAAGTCCAAAGAACCTTAGAAAATGTCTAATATGAAGATAGAGAGAAAGATATGCCAGATCTATTTTTTTTCAGTTCCCTTTTATTGAGAGCCTGCTATGTCTTAAGTACTTTAGATACGTTTTTACAATTTAATCTCATTGAGTTCTTTCAAGAACACACACCAAAAGGTACTATTAACCCTATGTAGAGGCTGACGTGCATAGAGGTTCTATAACGTGCTCAAGTTTACAGCACTAGAATGGGGGAGAGCTGGTTTGACCTACTCTGGAACTGCTACTTCTTCCTCTCTGGGGTACCTCAGTTTTTCTTTGGGGAGCTGCTCCTCCCTCCTTCATGTAGTTTGACCCCACCTCCCAGTTCCAGGATTCACATTTATCACATCTGGCTCCAAGCCCACATTCACAACCACTATGCCATGGTGCCTGGGAAATAGATTCAGATGCTCCAGCAACACTGGTAGTTGGGGTCGTTGTCTGCCATAGAAAGCACATTTCTTCATACCTAAAAATCCCCAAGGTATTCAAGCTAAATCCAAAGGGACCGTGGGTTTCGGGACGTGTCTATTCGTTGTTGCTACTCTCATGCCTTCAGAGATGTCCAGGCAGCATCTTGTGCAAATATCTGCACAAGAGAAATCATCTGACTGCTTCAGAGAGTGGTGTAGTTTTCTTCTCTTTAGTAACCAACCCACACCCTTCAGTTCTTCAAGCCTCACACCGTACACAGCACGTTTCCTAATGAAGCCAGGGAAGCTGAGTGGCCATCTTGCCCCCTGCCGGTTCCATGTGTCCAAAAGTAGGCTTGGGTTGTCCAGGGCCTGGCACATGTCTCCGTGACTAGCAGAGAAACTAGTTCTGCCCTAAGTCAGAACTAACCCAGCAGGGAGGAGGAAGAGAGGGGCGGTCTGTGCACATTTATCCATCTAGGCAACCTCTCTGGAAACCCTGAGCTCCTGGGTTCTTTAATATATAAAACCCAGAAACCCGCAGTACTGGGCAACACAAGAGGCAAGAGGATGGAGCCTGAGCAGAGGAGTTCTTTTGCTTGAGTTGAAATTTCTCTACATTCCCTTGGTAGACAGTGGGGAAAAAAGGCAATGGAAAAATCTCGAGATTTTGCTGCCAAATTACTACTGGGACATCACATTGCAATTGAAAAATGTTATTTGGAGCTGGGTTGGATCTCAGATTGTAAAGGGTATCTTTCCCTTCTTAGTTTTGATCATAAGGCAAGTCATTTTAGCTAGTGTCACAAAAATGCAATAACTTCAGTGTAACAATTATTGTTCTTCCTCTTGAAACAAATATTGCTGCTTACCAGAGATGATGACAGGGGTGGGCAAAACTCTGCAAGAAACAGTCCCTGCCCTGAAAGCGAAGAATCGAATTTACACAAAGGCCATGGTCAATGCTGTAGTTTGGAGACTTCTACAATTTTCACAGCATGATTTCATACCTTGAAGGCCAACGTTTACTATTGCAAATTTCTGCCTTCCAGAGTCTTCTATGATTAAAAGAAGAAGAAGAAGAAGAAGAAGAAGAAGAAGAAGAAGAGGTGGGGGAGGAAGCTCAGAAACCACATTTTCCATCCCTAGTGCTCTCCTCCCCAAAATGCATAAAACATTTGCAGAGGTTGGAAAGTAGGGAGGAAAAAAGATAGAATGCCTCCCTTCCGTTCCGATCTGTCCTTTCTTGCTTGCCAATACCTTTAAAAAAAAGTAAGAGATGCAAGGGATCCTGTGGTCTGCTGGAGGAAGGCTACCTCTCCTCGGGGCCATATTCCTATTAGCACCTAAGTCAAGAATCTGGCATCTGTTCTTAATTATCCTTTTTAATTCAGAATATTAAACAATGAGCTCAATACTCTGCCTTCTTAGTTGAACCTTAAAATACCCATGTCGTTTTAACTGTCCTCCTTGGGCTCTGGAATCCAGAAAGGTCAAGTGTGCTCCCCAAAGATGCATAGCAAGGGCTTAGAAATTAATCCTGGACATCTGATTTGTTTCTAACTCTACATGAGTTAGCAGTGGCTGACTAATAGCAAACTTATTTTGAAAATGCTTGCTAGCTATTTTTCCATCACTAGATATTACCTGGTAGTTTGCCTCATAAATATTGTATCATTATGATTCCTAATATCTCTGTCAGAGTTCTTAACTTTTATGATAATAGGCAACTTGGAAACACTTTGCCAGACATTAGGCCATAATGTACAAAATAAGTGACTTACAAATGGGTTGCAGCTATCTAAAGCATGTCTGGTAAACAAATAACTGATACTGGACAACAGTGAAAAT